GGGGCCAGGAGCAGCCACTGCACTCCAGTCTGGGTGACAGAGTGAGACTCCAACTCAAAAAAAAAAAAGCAAAACAAAAACAAAAAAAATTGTTTATTTTTTCCATTTCCCTTACAGAAAAAGTCATTTTACTACAATGATTTTGCAGTAAATATGCTTGTACATCCTTATACATCCTTGTACACATGATAACTTAGCTATCTAGAAGTGGAATTACTGAATAATAGACATTACTATTCTCCATTCTATAGGTATCACCTCATTTCTCTTCAAAGCAGTTGTACCAGTTTATATTTTGACAACATTGTCGAGAGGTATCCTTTCCCCACATCCTTACCCACAGTGATTATAAAGATGTTTTACATTTTTGCCAAACTGATGAGTGTAAAACAATAGTTGATTGTTTAATTTGTATATCTCTAATTCCTAAATGAGGTTGAGTACCTCTTCACAGGCTTATTAGATACATTCTGGTTTCCTCTTCTGTGAAATGTCTGTTCATACTTTTTGCTAAGGAGTTGTATGCCTTTTTCCTATTTACCTATAAGAATTCTCTATATAGTCAGTCAATTATATATATTGCAAATATCTTTCCCAATAAGAGCCCTTTTTTTAACTTTATGGTGTTATATAGAAATTTTTAGTTTGAATTTAGTCAAACAGATCATGTCTTTATGGCTTCTGTTTTTAAAATCTTGCAACACTCTTGCCTCTCTTAAGATCATAAAATATTTTTCTCCTTCATTTTATAGCTTGAGGTCTTTAATACAGCTATAATTCCTATGTATACAGGTTCTGACAATTAAGTTCATAAACTTGCCACCACGTGCTTACGTTGGCAGCACTGTACAAACAACTCAGTAAGGTTTCATAACCTTGGTGTATCAGTGTCTCACAGCTGTGTTTGTGTCAACGCGTGGTGATATATTGCTGAGTGGCATTAATTAACTGGAAATCTTGGCATGAGAAAGGTGTGTGTAAAAATGGTCCAAAGGAGCTCTTGCATCACAAGGCACCAGCTCACACAGTACTGTCTGTAAGAGAGTTTTTAGCCAGTAAACAAATAACTGTATTGAAACACCCTCTTTACTCATCTGATCTGGCCCCCCAATGACTGTTTTCTTTACCCAAAGATAAAGGAAATATTAAAAGGAAGATATTTTGAAGACATTCAGGACATCAAGAGTAATACAACAACAGTTGTGATGGCCATTCCAGAAAGAGTTCCAAAATTGTTTTGATGAGCAGACTAGGCACTGGCATCAGTGCATAGCCTCTCAAAGAGAGTACTTCAAAGGTGACCATAGTGATATTCAGCTGTGAGGTATGCAGCACTTTTTCTAGGAGGAGCTCATGAATTTAATTGTCAGACCTTGCATGGTACCAGGCAGAGATCTAAGTTTATCTTTCTTCCAGCACCAATTATTCAACAGTTCACCCTTTTCCTGTTCATTTATTATGTTACCTATTATATACCAAGTTTCCTTATATGTTTGGGTCTGTTTCTAGGTTTTCTGCAAAAAATGTATAAACAGTTAAAAAAAAAAAAGGCTAAAAATAAAAACAGAACTAATAATAGGGAAAAATACTTATGTTACAATGTTAATTAAAACAAGGCAGAATTGAGTCAGGTACAGTGGCATATGCCTACAGTCTCAGCTATTTGGGAGGCCAAGGCAGGAGGATCGCATGAGCCAAGGAGTTCAAGGTTATATAGTATGCTATAATTGTGCCTGTGACTAGCTACTGCACTCCAGCCTAGGCAGCATAGTGAGACTCCATTGATTTTTTTTTAAAAAGCAGGATTGATCTTGGCTATATAAAATAACATGTGCACCAAAGACAGTTTGAGATAAATTAAATATCTATAAAAAGTCATCTATAAACCCAGCACTTTGGGATGCTGAGGCAGGAGTATCTTTTCAGTCCAGGAGTTTGAGACCAGCCTGGGCAACACAGCAAGATGCCATCTCCAGCCGGGCTCAGTGGCTCAGCCTGTAATCCCGCACCTTGGGAGGCTGAGGTGAGTAGATTGCCTGAGCCTGAGGGTTCGAGACCCGCCTGGGCAACTTGGCGAGACCTCATCTCTACAATAAATCAAAAATTAGCCGGGCATGGTAGCGTGCGCCTGTAGTTCCAGCTACTTGGAAGGTTGAGGCAGAAGGATCGCTGGAGCCCAGCAGCTCAAGGCTGTGGTGGCAGGAAGCAGCCACTGCACTCACTCCAGTCTGGGCAACAGAGTGAGACTCTAACTCAAAAAAAAAGATGCCATCTCCATAAAAAAAAATTTTTTTTTAAATATTAGCCAGTTGTGGTGGTATACACTTGTAGTTCTAGCTACCCAAAAGGCTGTGGCAGGAGTATCACTTGATCCCAGGAATTCAAGGTTGCACTCACACCACTGCACTCCAGTCTAGGGTTAAAAAAAAAACAAAAAAAAAGAGCAAAGTCTGACTTGTCTTCTTGCAAGCTACCTCCTACCTACCCTATACATCACTTCCCCTTGTTCTAGAGGCGCAGCCCCCTCTGGTTTACGGAAGTACCACCCGAGTTTGGAAATAAGGTGCATGAAATTAGAGAGTGGTGGCTTTAGAGAGGAAGGGTTTCTACTGCCGAGGACTTACCTGGAGTTTTGCTACTTCCTTCCTAATCAGGAAGCTGACCTGGTCTCGGTCATTCCTAGAGTAATAGAGACGGCACCAGGAAGGCTTCCCATCCCTGCCGGCCCGGCCAGACTCCTGGTAATACCCAGCCATGGACTTGGCAATATTCCAGTGGGCAACAAACCTGTAGGATCCAAAGGGACAAGCTGCATGAGACAAACTGAATGAAGCTTGGAGGAGTGATCTGAGTTAGGAGAGCAGGGTTTTCTCCACAGTGACCAGGAGTGGGGAAGGGAGGCTAGCAGGTAGGGAAGCAAAGAGAACACTCTAGTGTTGGCATCTCCAGTGTTGACTAAGCTACCTGCAGCCCATCAGCAGGTCTCCCTGCCAGGAATAGCCAGCTTATAGGCTACAAGAGAGAGTTAAGGGGCAATTCCAGCATATATGAGGAACCAAAAAAAAAAACCTCAGCCAGGGCCCAGTGGAAAAATTACTGGACCTAAAGAAACAAGACTGGCTGGGCACAGTGGCTCAGCCTGTAATCCCAGCACTTTGGGAGGCCAAGGCAAGAGGATTGCCTGAGCCCGGGGGTTCGAGACCAGCCTGGGCAACTTGGTAAGACTTCATCTCTACAATAAATCACGAAAACTAGTCAGACGTGGTGGCATGCATCTGTAGCTCCAGCTACTTGGAAGGTTGAGGTGGAAGGATCGCCTAAACCTAGCAGGTTGAAGTTACGGTGGCTGTGAGCGTGCCACTGCACTGCAGCCTGGGCGACAAGAGTGAGACTCCAACTCAAAAAAACAAAACAAACAAGCAAAAAAAACAAGATTAGGCTCTGCCACTTAAGAGATACACAAACTTGAATAAGTTCTTTTTTTTTTTTAAATCAGAGTCTCACTCTGTTGCCCAGGCTGGAGTACAGTAGCATGCTCATGGGCCACCGCAGCCTCAACCTGCTGGGCTCAGGTGATCTTTCCGTCTCAGTCTTCTCAGTAGCTAGAACTATAGGCACCTGCCACCACACCCAGCTAACTTTTTGATTTATTGTAGAGAACAGGTCTCACCAAGTTGCCCAGGCTGGTCTCAAACCCATGGGCTCAAGTAATCCCCTCACCTCCGCCTCCCAAAGTACTGGGATTACAGGCGTGAGTTACCACACTTGGCTTCAATAAGTTCTTTATAACTTTTTTGCAGAGGGAAAGGAATAATATTTATTAAATGCCCACTATAAGCCAGTTTATATATCTGTCTCAATTATTACAATCACCATCATGTGAGGCAGCGCATTAGAAAGATAAACTTGAGCTGGGCTCGGTGGCTCAACCTATAATCCCGCGCCTTTGGGAGGCTGAGGTGAGTGGATTGC